CTGCGCTGGTGCCCAGCCTCTAATTCTCCAGTCCTACATAACTGGTTATCTGGAAATATTATTCATGATGCCAACATTAAAAATGTCTCATCTCGTGAAATCTAAAAATATTTCACTTCTAGTTATGTCTGTGTCTTAACAGAACTTTTCTCAAATGCTAAAAGCCATTTGTTGTCTTTAGAACAGAAGCTATGGAAACAGGTTTTCTAATACTTGTTGATTAATTATCATTTAAATTTTTAAAAAATATAAGTTGGGTGCATACGTTTATGTTACTGTTTTCTAGTAACATGCAGATAATGATCACTAGCACTGGCAAAGGAACATAGGTTTTTTTCAGAGTGTTTATAAACAAGCTTTGGGTCAATCATATACTTAGGCTGTGGGACCTTGGTAAAATTATCTAAATTTTCTATACTTCATTTTCTTAATTTATAAAATTACTTGTACCTGATTTCACCTCCTACTTCCTTGTCACCTCCTTTCAGGGCTCCTTTTTCTTTATCTGTCCCATTAATGATGATGTTCTTCAGGGTTTGGTCTTAACCGCTAATCTTTTCTAGGGATCACAAACTAGCCTGATGAAGTTCAGGGATATCTTTCTTTTCCAGGGCTAACAGTGTTGGAAATAACTGATGTGAATGTCTTTAAGTAAGACAGACAGACACTTTACTACTCCCTGTTGTCTGCCATTTATATTACCTGCCAGGTTCCTAAAATAAGTTCATGACCCGAACTTTATACTCACTGATTTTGTGTCATGTGCTGGGTTTATAGTAGAGAATAAAAATAAACATGTTCTTTGAACTAACTAAGCTTTCAGACAAATGAGGGAAACACAGTTGAAGACATGTTTTAAAATAATGTTACGCTTAGGGCACAGCGATAGTTTAACAACAATACTGCTTAGAGCTCAAACAAAACTTTTACCATTCAACCCAGTACTCATTTCATTAATCTCTATGCCAATTACTCCCCTGTGATTTTTCAATTTTACACTGAATATAAGTTAACCTTCAAAATTTTAAATCCTCAGAGTTTCTAATATGCTAATATGTATAAGGTTTCTGACAGATGATAATAACAACTACATATATTTGTAGAACATGTACTATGGCTGGCTAAATGCTTTACACAAGTCAATTTCAAATATTGTAATAATCTCCATTATACAGAGAAGAAAACTTGAATTAAAATTAATTTGCCTCACGTAATACTTAGTAAATGAGGACTGAAACTCAGGTCTGTCTGATGCTGCAGTTAGCTCTTTTAATGCTCTAGCTATAATTTCTCTAAAGGATATAATTGCAAAGCATTTTCCAGTATATTTCATGACAGAATCCTAACCCAGGAATACCTATTAACATTTGTTTGAACTAGTATTCTCTAAAACAGTTTGGGAAATGCTGGTTTAAGTCTCTGGACTAAAATTTAAAAAAAAATCAAGACTGTGAGATTAAAATAAATATAACAATTACATGCACAGTAATTGAAAATATAAAACATTTATGAAGAGAAAAGCACAGAAAACAGTAGACCAAGTATGTTAATTGTGCTTGATTGGTGGGAATCAAGACTTTTTCTTTTTCCTGTACTAAATTAAAATGGTAATAATGCATTTTTTATACCAAAAGCTTTTGAAACATATTATCTAAATCATTCTGCCCCTTCACATTAATTTTGTCCTTCTCAATGTTAATTATCATATTTCATCAAAGCTAAAAAGCCATTCATCATACGATACCTCTAATGCAGAATCTCAAATACTGTACATGAATTTATAGTACATATTAATCATTAAAATATACACACAAAAGATGATTTTTGAGATTCTGAGATCTTCATGATCATTTTTGTTCACTCAGCAATTTCCTCAGGAGTCCTCCCCACCCCACCTACATTGCCTGCGATCTCTTTTCAAAAGCCAAATCTCTGTCCTACGATGACAACATTGGGAATCAAACATAAGTCAGTTACTACTTTGAAATCAAAGTTTTACAAGCAGATTTTTAATTTTAGAATTCCTATGCTATATAGGAACTCTACACAAATTTGAAAGCGTCTCTACTCAAAACCTCTAATTACACTATTTCAGAATTACAGTAGGTAAAAATTTACATTTTTGTTGGAAGCTTTAAATACTATATTTCAAGAAATCTAAAATGCCATCAATTGTAAAATGGCTTCAATCCCAAGAAGCTCTATTATTTTATGTACCATTATGAAAAAAAAAACACTACTGAATCAACTGACCCAATGCTTTCTTATCACTTAGACATATCTACATTATTTATTAAAAGACTTCTTTTACATTTAACCCTGGATTTTTATCTCGTATCACCCTTTTGTTTTCCCTCATACACAGTAACTTTTCATTCTAATGCTGATCATAATCTTCTAAATGATCTTTAAAAGGGAAATTAAACTCAACAACTATATGCCAACACTGCACATATAACTCAACTGAAATAATGAGAAAATTAAGTTATGACTAAGTGTGTGTAAGTGTGGGCGATGACAAATATCTCACAACTGCCAATTCGTCTACAGTGATTTGAAGATGTCAACAATTTAAAAATCATCCCTATTTCAGAGATGTATGAGAAAAATGTGTATATCAGAATTGATAGACTATAGTAATTTTAATCAATTTTTTCCTTTCTTCTCCTTCCTTCATTCCTCTTCTTGCCTTCCAACTTCTTTCCCTGATTTGCTACACAATCTAGTTACTGGATATCTAAGAATGTTACAGTATACATAAAATACCCCACACTGAAAGAACGTCCCTATTATAGTGTTAAGCAATGTGGTACCTTTTAGAACTAGGTGAAAATTCCTGCTAGGATTTAAATCGTATGTGTCAAGAGTCAGAATTTAAAGAAGATAAGAAAATTAAATACACTGAGAACAATGCATCTCAAGACATTCAAAATATGTAAGTGCAGCAACCAGCAGTAATTCCATAGGCCTTTTATCAACCTTTGCCAAAACCTATAAAAAGAATATCTAAAATTGCTTTTTTATGAAAGTTCCTATTTATTCTTGTTTCCCTTACCAGAGAGCCTGCTTTCCCCTTACTGATGAGAACACAGGGGGTCCTGGGTAAAGAGTCCATAAAATTTAAAAAGGAGTATGCCTTGGCCTCCCATGACCCTCTTACTTCACAATAAGGCCATCTTTTACCTGGTTTAGATTTGCAGACTAGGTCCATTAGATACGTTGTCATTAAATACCTATACTATACCCTAATATTTGTAATCTTGACAGGTATTATTTTCATTTTATAGACAGATCTAGGAAAATTACATGACTTATCGGAATCCCTTCAAATATCACAGAGCAAAGTCATGATTTTAACTTGTGTTTGCCACTCTGAAACTCACACTGGAATTCATTTTTAAAGTGTTCTTCAAAGTCTAATTAAATAAAATTAACCCTGTCATCTATAATACTCTTACATATCCAAATTAAGTGCATCAAGAATATCACTGGCCATTTCTTACCACCCATAGTCAAACCACCATTATGCTTCCTCTGGATTATTGCAACACTCTCCTTATTGGTCTCTTTTCTCCTACCACGCCCTCCTCTGTGTGTTTTCCTTTATGAGTGACCCTCTTAAAAGGAAGTCAGATCCCATTACTCTACCGCTCAAAACCCTCCAAAGTCCTATTTCATTTAGAATAAAAGTTAGATGTCCTCAAGATCTTCATGACTTGCTCGCCTTGATTTAATCTCCAGTGAAGGACTAAACCCTTTACTCAACTCTGACCTACAGAGTTCTAGCAGGTTTCTGCTTCATGACCTTTGCAATGGCTGGTCCCTCTGTCTGACTGCACTTCCCCAAGATATTCGCATGGTTGCATTTCCCACTTTTGTCAGCCCTTTACTTCAAAGTTATCTTTTCAGCAAGACCTTCCTGTGTCGCTCTATAACCTTCTTCCCTGCTTTGTATTTCTCTTCAGGACTATCACGACCTAAAATACAGCACGTTTCTAATTACTTTGCTTAGTATGTGCCTTCCTCACTAAAATGTGAGCTACAAGTAGACAAAGATTTCTGTCTGTCTTGTTCACTGCTCTTCACCTAATGCCGAGAACGGTGCCTGGAATAGAGTGGGCGCTTAATAACTATTCGCTGAATGAATAAATTCCCGTCTTCACCCTTCTCTCCCCCAAAGCACCCAAGTCCTTTGACACACATATTCACATAACAGTAAATACGCTTAGGGATCGATATTTTTTGGCAGCATTCTTAACTTAGCCCTGCATCCCATTTCTCAAACGTGGCTCCTTTAGAAGGAGGTCTCAAGCTCTTTCCTGTTTCCTCAGGCCAGGGCTGGTCCTGGTGCGAACGGAATACCCGTTAGCAACCGCAGGCCAGGTCCTCTCTCCTGGAGGCAAGTTACAGAAGGAAGACCCCTACGATCGCAATCCGCGATCCCCGAGTGAGTGACCCTCCACGACGTCACTCACATGAAGCGGCGGCCAGGGGTTCCGAGAAAGCCACAGCAGGAAGCATGTAGGGACAACCACCCGAGTACTCTAGCAGTGAGAAAGGACCCAATGAGGTGTCCTTGCTGAACGCCTGAATGTTCTACAGATTCAACCGTCAATTCTTTCTTCCTCTTCCTGTGCTCAGTCCCATTAACCTTCCACACCACGCTCCTCGTCTTCCATTCCCTCACCCAGGATTTCCAATCGCCCCCTCGTCCCCCGGCACCTCTTTCTCTGTAGCTATATTTCATTTCGAGTCCAGTTTGGGCAAGGGGCAGGACGCCACAAGTCGGGGTCTTTCCTCAGTATTGGGTCGCGGTGGCTGTGAGGGCAGAAGAAAAGGCCAGGCTGAGGGGAGGGTGGCGGGTAAAAAGCTGGGATTTGTGATTGGGCAAGGCCAGGCTCGCGGTCCTTGCCGGGTTCCGCGAAGGGAACCTGAGCTGACTCGGCTTGCGGGCGAAGGGCAACCTTTGAGCTCCAGGCGTTCTGGGAGCGGCCTCTTTTGTGGGAGCACCTGAAATGCAGCGTTTAGTGCACTAAGTCGTAGCGGCAGCACCAGGCACAGCGACTGCGCTGTGGCCCTGTGTAGAAGCTCCATCCCCCTTGTCTTTGTGTTTGCCTGCGTCCCCAGACTCAGAGGCAGGTATTTGGGTAATCTAGTTTTCCGTGTTGTAGTGGGTGGGGTCTGTGGGAGGTAGAGGACTATCAGGAGCAGTGAGTGGCCCCGCATGTCTTCAGAAGGGATAAGAGAACCGAGCTGTGGAGCTGCTTGCTGATGGGTACTGTCTCCATCCCTAGCTACAGCCCGCCTTTCCTGTGAATCAGGTTCACCTGAGTCCTTTGGGAACCGTAGGCTCAGCAGTCGCTGTCACTGCCTGAAAGGAAGGCTAAAGGAGGAGGTTAGAGAATCTAGAATCTGCCCCTCCATTTCTCACCATAGAGGCAGAATTTTGCTTTGATTTGTTTCTGGCGCTCGAGGTTTAGTCAATTGTCGAAGTGTAACACCCTCTTGAGCAGTAGGAGAATGTGAAGCAGTGAAAGGAAATTACTTGAGGATTGTCAGTGGCTGCTTTTCAAGGTCCCCTGTCCTGGTTTCTATCCATCTGGGACAAAAATAACCTCTTGAGAGAATGTATATATAAAATAAATGAATTAGTATCATTTTCCTGTAGAAGAAATGTGAAACTTTTGTTCATGATAAAATCAACATCTTTTGCCCTGTTTTTTACTTTTTCTCCTCATTCGAGTCATTTAACTATAAGTTCTTTGAGGGCAGAGATTCTGACTTGTTCATTATCCTTTGCCCACCGGCTGGAAAAACAACCGACTTAAAATAGGGGCTTCAAAATATTTGTTGAATGAATTAATTTTCAAGCCCAACTGCTTGCACTGTTGTTTGCCTCATCTAATCTCTCACTTCTGCGTTTTGTTTGTACTTTTCCCCCAGTAGTTTTCTTCCACTCACCAGGTGTAAGCAAATGTCTGTGTGTGCATTTTTGTGTGTGAGCCTTTTTATGGACAACCATCTAAGAGATAGTGAAAAAAGAACACTGATGAAATCTTTTATGTTAATTAGTGTTTTATCTTTTTCGATCATTGTGTTTTATTTGGTTATTTTATTTTCAGCTAAGTGATAAAGATATCTGATTGAAAATCAAATAGTTGGCCGGGCGCGGTGACTCACTTCTGTAATCCTAGCACTTTGGGAGGTCGAGGCGGGTGGATCACCTGAGGTCAGGAGTTCAAGACAGCCTGGCCAAGATGGTCAAACACCGTCTCTACTAAAAATTAGCTGGGCGTGGTGGTGGGCGCCTGTAATCCCAGCTACTCGGGAGGCTGAGGCAGAGAATCGCTTGAACCTGGGAGGTGGAAGGCTGCAGTGGGCCGAGATCATGCCACTGTACTCCAGCCTGGATGACAGACTGAGACTCCGTCTCAAAAAAAAAAAAAAACTATGGCATAGTAGGATTGAATAACAAGGTACAACTGTGTCACCTGTCCTATTCTCAGTACTATTCTTCAAAGATAACCACTTTTAACCTTTTTTAGGTCTGTAGGTTAAATAATAAGTTAAACCTAGTTAATTCTTTTTGTTGACTTCTTGAGATAGCCCTAAGTTAAACTAATTCTTTTTCTGTTGACTTCTTGAAATAGCCCACACCATTCACAATCTCTCTTCTCAGAATTTGGGAATAGTCATAATCATAATTTTTGGCTTTTGTATTGGTTACTTTATAATTCAAAATAATATACGTAAATTTTTCACATCAACTTTTGAAACTATATTTGACTCCTTGTTTGGTAAAACGAGAAAAGTAGTGATTCTACCTTTTTCTTTATCACCTCAGAAACTACATTTATGCCCACTTTCTCTTAGCTGGACATTTACTTTTACATTGTCAAAGTTGATAATATATTTCTTAACTATAATATTTGCACTTTGTTCACGTGCCAAAAACCAATAAAAAATAAATAAAATGTTTACAGTATTATGGCTTTATAGTTGTTATTTAGTGCAAGTCCAAGCTGTATGCTTCGATATGTTTTTTTCCCAGAGTTTTAACTTCATGATCCCTGTGCCATAGTAAGAGGATTATTTATGATATCAAGGTCAAATGGGTTTTTCTTTCTTTCCTAACAAGGGCAAAATATTATGCTGTAATTGAGCATGCTTTGTATTTTGGACTATGTAATTACATAGTTTTTAACCATCCCTACTTTCTTAATTGCCTTTCTGCTTTCTCCTGAGGAATAGGTAGGTGGATGTGCTTTCTTCACTGAGTCTTTTCATTCTTTGTATGATGGACATAGAAGCTTCCATTCTTCTGTTTGAAGTTTTTCCCCTTGAAGCCCAATGGCTTTCTGTTTAATTTGAACAGATTGCGTTCTAGTCCTTTTGAATTGCTCCTATCCTGGGTTTATATTCATTCTTGGGTAAATAACATTGTTTCTTAGCCCCTCATCTTCTGTTATTGGACTTCCCCCTATTTCCCTGTAATATATCCTAAGGAAGCTTGCTCACAAAAGGCATGTGAAAGGTAATTTTATTTTTTAATGTTTGTATGGCTATAAATTATAATTTGCTCTTATGACTGATAATTTGGCTGTATATGGAATCAGAAGTATTTTCCTTCAACTCTCAATCCTTCCATGTCTTCTAACTTTTTTTTCCTTTTTTTTGAGTTGGAGTCTTGCTGTGTCGCTCAGTCTGGTCTGGAACTCCTGACCTCACATGATCCTCCCACCTCAGCCTCCCAAGTATCTGGGATCACAGGCACACGCCACCGCACCAGGCTCTCTTCAAACTTTCATTATTGCTGATGAGAATGACAGTTTCACTTTAATTTGTTGATAGTGGAATCATTTTTTTCTCTCTGAAATGTTTAAAATTTTCTAGTTACGTTTGATGCTTTGAAAATGTATGGCAATGTTTATCTTCTCATAGGCTCTTAATTTTATTTTTTATGAGATAAAATTGACACATATTAAAACACACTGATTTTAAGTGGTCAGTTTAATGAGTTTTGATGCATGTATTCATCCATAGAGCCACTACCAGCACAATCAAGGTAGAAAATATTTCTACCACTACAGAAAGTTCCTCTGTTTCTGTTTATTCAACCCCGCTTCTCCATCTACCGTACTATCTTCTTATTTTTATTAATACTGCAATTTAGAACTATAGTTCTGGAATTACATTTAAATGGAGTCATACAGTATGCACTCTTTTGTATCTGCTTCTTTCATAAACTTAATATTTTTGAGGTACATCCATGTTTTGGCCTGTTTGTTCCATTTTTCTTGTTAAATAGAATTTCATGGTACAAGTATGTTAACAGATTCACTTGTGAGACATTCGCATTGCCTCTGGATTTTAGCTATTAAGAGTGCAGTTCCTGTGAACATACTCATACCAGCATTTTTATGGACAAATATTTTCATTTTCTTGGTTAAACACCTAGTAGGAGTGGAATTTCTGAGTCACAAGTTAGGGATATTTTTCACTTTAGAAGAGTTTTCCAAATATTTTCCAAAATTCTTTTGCCGTTTTACACTCACACTAGCAATATATCAAAGCTCCACTTCCACATTCTCCTCAACACTTGTTATTGCCAGTCATTTTAATTTTAGCCATTGTAGAAGTTAAAGGGATTCTCATTTGCATTTCTCCCAATTAATGATATTAAGCAGTTTTTTTCATGTGCTTACTGACTTTTCGTGCCTTGTGTGAAAATGTATTTGTGACTTTTACCTATTTATGTATTGGCTTGTTTTATTATTGAATTGTGGTATTTCTTTATAGACTCCGAATACAGGTCAATTATATATAGACACATATATTTGATTTTAAAAGGTCCTATGTATACATAATGTCATATGTATATATAGACAGATATAAATAATATTTCCCTTTAACTCGAAGTTTTATTTTCTCAGGTGCCTTTTGATATGCAGATGTTTTTAATTGATGAAGTCTACTTTGTCAAAATTGTCTTTCGCGACTAGTGCTTTGTTATATCATGTCTAAGAAATCTTTTCCTAGCCTAAGGTTGTAAAGATACTCTTATGTTTTCAATGAGAAGACTTAACAGTTTTACCTTTACATTGAAACCTATGATCCATTTTAGACTTTTATGGATGTATCAGTAGAAGTTAAGGTTATTTTTTATATGAATATCTTTTTCCAGCACCATTTGTAAAAAAGACTTTCCTTGAACTCTTTTGAGTTCTGTTGAAAATCTATTTTATTTAAAAAATTTTAAATTATGAAATACGTGGTATTAACACACACGTAGATAAATATAGAGCATGGAAATTACCAAGCATAATGATAGCATGAACACCCATTAATTCACCAGCTAAAAACTAGGCTATTATTCAAGATTTTTGAAGCTTCTTGTGGATTTTTCCCTAACTTTACCCCTGCTTTAATTTGGTAGTAACCATATTCTGAGTTTTTTTTTTTTTAAATTCCCTTACTTATTGAACATATTCTTACAATAGATGTAAGTATTCCAGAATTATTTTTTTGTTTCGTTTTTGAGTTTTATGAAAATTGGCATATTTTATGTTACTTTTTTCACTCAATATTCATCTGTGCTATTAAACATTGCTATAGTTTGCTTATTTTTCATTATGTATGCAGGTGAATATGCCACAATTTATTTAACCATTTACCTACCATTGGATATTTAAATTGTCTCCAGTTTGGCGATATTAGGAGCAATACTGCCCTGATCTTTCTTGCACAGGTCCACTGTGTGTGTGTGTGTGTGTGTGTGTGTGTGTGTGTGTGTGTGTGTAGGAGTTTCTGTAGGAATATAATAGCGAGATAGTGTAAAACGTTTCTGGTGATTTTACTAATTTACACTCCCACTTACAGCAAATTAGAGATCCTATTTTTCCGCATCCTTCTAACATTATGTGTTATCAGATTTCTTAATTTTTAACTGTCTGGTAGATAAAAATTTTTGGTGGTTTTAATGTGCAACTCCTTGATTATTCATGAGGTTGTTTATCTTCCCATATATCTATTGGCCATTTCTCTTTATTCTTTTGTATAATTTGCTTTTCTGTAACTTGTTTTATGTAGTGGATGTAATATCTTCTCAAATCTCTCTATATTTATTAGAGTTAGTTTTTGTGTTTTTTCATAAATTATTTCAGTTGCTTCCAAAGCCAGATTTTTTGGAGGTTTATTTTACTGTTTGCGCTTGATACTGTAGTCTTTCCTCAACTATCCGATGATTCTCAGACAACTCATTATTTAAGAGCTAAGGCTGCCTGGGAGCTTTGTGTATATGGACAGGCTTATTGACTGATAACCTTTTGGTTTAGGATGGCTGGGTGCACAGCCAAATCTTAGCCGGGGTCCTACAAATTCCAGAATCGTGAGGAGTTTGCTCTTCTTGCCAGTGTCCATAGCAACTACTGTAGTTCTCAGTTTGTTCAGATTCTTTAGGAAAGAACCTTTTATTTTCAGAGTGTAAATAACTGCCTATGTTGTGGGACTGGTGGCAGAATTGATACTTCTAATTATTCAACACTTCACCCTTCTGATTTCAAACCCTCTTTGACTGCTGTTTACCATTGTTCCCGCCTTCTCTTAAGTCTGAAGCCTCTGAATCTGAAAGGGCCAAACAAACCTCTTGACTAATAGGCTGGGCGCGGTGGCTCACGCCTGTAATCCCAGCACTTTGGGAGGCCGAGGCAGGCGGATCACAAGGTCAGGAGATTGAGATCATCCTGGCTAACACGGTGAAACCCCGTCTCTGCTAAAAATACAAAAAAATTAGCTGGGCGTGGTGGCGGCACATTCCCAGCTACTCGGGAGGCTGAGGCAGGAGAATGGCCTGAACCCGGGAGGCGGAGCTTGCAGTGAGCTGAGATCGCGCCACTGCACTCCAGCCTGGGCGACAGAGCGAGACTCCATCTCAATAAAAAAAAAAACAACCCCAAAACAAAAAAAACCCCAAACCTCTTGACTATTATAGGTTGTAGCTTATTTCTTTCTGCTTCTTGTGACAATACTCTTCCATATATATTTTGTTTTGTACAAGTTTCTAGAAATCTTTCATCACCTCATGGCCTGTGTCCCTTCCTTGTTAAGGGTTTATACTTTTTAAAATATTTTTAATGATTTCAGTAAGGTTTCTGGTCAGACAAAAGTGGTTTTATTGAATTGGAATTCCAGCATATTTATCAAAAAGCTGAGAAGGGCAAAATGCAGGGCTTTACCAGTAGATTGTCTTTTTAGTAAGGTCCATGGGTAAAATGTTTTTTACCCATGTCAGAAGACCTTTTTTGTTTTCCTTTGTTTTGTTTTATGTTGTTATGGTTGCCTTAATGTGATTCAGATTGATATGGAGCAAGTTTCCTAATCTCCAGGCTACTACCTTACACAACTTTGGGGGCACCGTTTATTTTGGAGTAAGTGCAAATAGGATGTCTCATGCTATACACGTGGAACAACTGTCTCTAAACTTGAGCCAGTAGCTCTATCAGGATTATTAATAGATTAAATCAGATCATACATTATGTAAAACATCTAGCATAAAAATGAAAATTGCTTATTTAATATTATAGAGCCTTCTTTTAATCTAGTTTAAGCTTTACTACTATTAATAAGGTCCCTGATTAATTACCAGTTGGTATCTATATTCCCTCTTTCCTGACTTACCTCACTGTATGAGAAGGAAGGTTCTTGATGGTATGTGAGTTATTCAATCTTTAGGTAAAGAGAGGAGCCTTATTGGCTGGGTGTGGTGCCTCACGCCTGTAATCCCAGCACTTTGGGAGACCGAGGTGGGCAGATCAGGAGGTCAGAGTTCAAGTCCAGCCTGGCCAACATAGTGAAATCCCATCTCTACTGAAAATACAAAAAGTTAATTGGGCTTGGTCGTGGGTGCCTCTACTCGGGAGGCTGAGGCAGAATTACTTGAACCTGGGAGGCGAAGGTTGCAGTGAGCAGAGATGGTGCCACTGCACTCCAGCCTGGGTGACAGTGCAAGACTCTGTCTAAAAAAAAAGAGAAGAGCGTTATTAATAATATGAAGATGCAGTAACAGACTTCCTCTACTCTTTAAACTGCAAGATGTCATTGAGGATGGAATCATCTTTCCTTTTTTATGCCATTGAAAATCTTTGAGTTTGATTCAGAGCTGCAATATAAATTTATGCTGAGGCGTTTTGTCCTCTGATATTTTAGAATTTTCTTACTGTGATATTTTTACTGTGAAGTGTTCAGATTGGCATTTTCCTCCAAGTTGTATGTTAATTGTGTTTAAGGTTTGGTCTGTCTGGCTTAATATTTGGTGTGTCCTAAAATTCTCTCCTTTTCCAGATTATCTTAGAAGACCTAGAACTCCAAAAATGTTTCCCCTGGAGGATGCTGAAATGGGAGCCTTTACCTTCTTTGCCTCGGCTCTGCCACATGATGTTTGTGGAAGCAATGGGCTTCCTCTTACACCAAATTCCATCAAAATTTTAGGGCGCTTTCAAATCCTTAAAACCATCACCCATCCCAGACTGTGCCAGTATGTGGATATTTCTAGGGGAAAGCATGGTAAGTTATTTTCTTTTTTTTCCTATTTATGTTCTCTACTTTGTTACCCAAAGTTATAAATACTGTATCCACTAAATATATAAAGCTATCAGTTCCTGTGCACACATGTCCTTCTTTCTCTCCTCCTTTTCCCCCACCCTGCCTCTCTCTCATATACTTGCCCATTTATTTGCAAAACTACCAGGTAAAATTCAAACTCTTTACTAGGCTATTGCATGCAAAAATCCTTCATCTAGTCCTTGATCCAGTCTGTGCTGTCCTCTTTCGATGTGTTGCTTGTTGTTTCCATTAATTTAACCATTCATTCCAGCCAAGCTGAGTTGCTTTGAGGTTTTTTGATTCACATATCCTTGATTTTGTTTTTTGCAATTTTCTCTCATGGATTATGCTATGAGGGAGGGGCAAAGGTAACAGAAATTTATACTGAGCAGAGTGGCCAAATATACGTATTCAGTAAGCTATGGGAGGAGTCATGAATATTTATGAAAGGAGAACCATGTGTATGTGCATTTAAACTTCATTCCCCTTCAAGCCGCTTCATGGGTCCCACATATAAAAAATGGCAATGTTGGCATGATCTGATGGTCATGATCCGAGGGTGGAGTTTTTCACCCTCTGACGTCAAAGGTGGAGCAGAGGACACGAAAACCCTTACTGCTCATTCTTGGTAGACTGGCCAAAACCACTCCATGGTTGGTTATCAGGCAAATGGTTGCTTATCAGGCAAAAAAGAAGGGGTAGTGTCAGACAGTTGGTTGATATCAGTTGTGAAATCTTTTGAAAGGGCTGGTTTTCACTAAGTCCCTAGGGAAGAAAGCCTAATCATGGTTAAGAGGGTGGTATAATGAGGTAGTCTGACCCTAAGTCCTATCATGGCTGAGAACTCAGTTTTCAAGGTTATTCTGGGGTCCCCTTGGCCAAGAGATGGTCCCTTTAGTCAGTTGAAGGGCTTTGAAGATTACTTTTAATTTACAGTAAACATCTAAGGAAATGAAATTTTAAGTTTAAAATTGTAGCTTCAGTAGGCTTTAGGAGGTCTGTGAACACCTCAAATTACTATAAAATTGTATATGTGTGTATTCATATGTACACATGTGTTTGCTGAATAATGAAAATTCATAGTTTTTCACAGATTTTCGAAAAGGATTCCTAATGTAAAAAAAAAGAGGAGAGAGGGGGCTTAAAAGCACTGGTGTAGAGTATCAAGGGGTATGGAGAGATCATCTTCTTTGGAGAGATCATCTTCTTTACTTAAGGCTAACTTGAGAAGTTCTAATGTCAGGTCCTAGTCTTTTCAAAATTGATTTGACCTGTACCTAGTGTTGCACCATGTCATATATTTACCAATCAGGAGACCCACAGTCAGGGCCACTGTGTGGGGTTTTGCCACACTGCATAAAAGCTTCTGGATAATGGAGTAAGTGGGAGCTGAAATCTGATTCTCTAATTTATTTTAGGGGGAGGGGTGCTTTTTCTAATTCTTAAAGAGAACTGTGAAAACTAGTGGTAACTATATAGTAGACTATAGATAACTCCAACCATTTGCTGAAAGCCCAGAAAATGACTTTTGGTGAGTTAATTTTTGTTCAAAAAATAATTTTTTGCCAAAGATTTTTATTTGTTACCTGGCTTCAATGACATTAAGTAGATGTTGAAAAATTATGGGGATCATTTGGGGCTTTTTACGTCACCAAGCAATATAATAGATATTTTCAAAACCTGTATACTTCAATACCCCATTACCCTTAATTCAGCTATAGATTCTAAAAAATTGCCAGTTGTAGAGTTGGCCTATTTCCAAAACCATTCTTTGGTTGTCAGTACAGTAGTATTAACCATGGGTGGTGAACATCTGTAAATTTGGCAGAGGCCTGTATTTCCAAACTCTTGCCACCAAGAGCCCTTTGTTTATTCCCACTGTATCTGGAAGCCCCTTTGGAGCTTCACTTTATGTATTTGGGGTTTTTCCTCTGACCAATTTTTCCTAGGCCTTTTCTCAATTGACAAAATAGTCCTAAAGCTCCTTCTTTTCCTTCCTCTACCTAACTTGGCCTCTATAAACACTGAATTAGGAACTGTGTTATAGCATGATTCTCTTTGGGGAGCATTCTTGCTAATTTTGCCTATGAACTTTCTTTTTGATTATCAAAGTCAGGTGGGAACTGATCCCCTTAGAAACTGTAATTGTTCTACTGATCGTTGTTCTCTGAGGCCAGTTCAACGATATGGTTAGTCCCCTTAGCCCTGTCCACCATATTGCTGTTTATTCTGCTTCCCTGACTTGCCCTGCTCCTCATGTATCTCAGCAGCCCTCTCTGCTAGGGTAACATAGGTCATGAATATATGTAAAGTTTATATATTTTAAGTCTAGTTGTCTGAAATGAAAATATCGATTGTCATTAGGCTAGGGAATTTGATTATTTTGTTTTTATTGGCAATGTTTAACATTCTGAAAAGTTGTGTGTATGAGGAATAATTTACTGTTAGAGTAACTGCTTATGCAAAAGTCTGTTTGTTCCAAAACATTCTAGTCAGTTCAGTTGCATCTACTTTGAAAAATTTGAAAACTTTCTGCTGAACAATCTCCTTAGTGAAAGTATTTCTCAGTGTGAACACCTATTTTTAGTGGTGTAATACCATATAACTTTGATTTGTGTCTTCTCAAAGAATTTTGATTTTGATTCTTCTTTTCCTCTTTTTTTCTGTTCTTGCTATGCAGATATCTTACTATTGTTAGTCATGCCCCTTCCCACCCTGCATGTTACTGTTAAGTCAATAACAATTAACTTCTTACTTGGAGTCACATACTCCTCTTACATGTGGTCTGTTTTAGTAACAATATGTTTTCACATACTATGTTAGCTCAGAAGTCAAGGTTTCACTGTTTTCTATAGATCATTCAAAACTAATCAAAGATGATAATATTTTCTTGCTAACTCAGCAGGATGAAGTTTTTAATCTCAGGAATGGTAGACACTTTATTAGAATTTCAGAACTTTTTTTCTAGTAGAAGAAAATATCTTTAGGAGAAAAGAAGCCAGTAAAGGCTGAAAATACTGTGTTAACAAATTTTATCTTTTCTTTTGAGCTTGAAATCTCAGCTGTGTTTAGAAGCAGAGTGAAGATTATAAATGGTAGTACATCCTTTTTAATTTGGTATTGATTATCCAGAAATCTTTCAATGATTGCTGGTGAAATCAAGGATAAAAATTATTTTATTTAAAATTAAAGTAGAGAATAATACAATTATATGGAACTGTAAGATAATTTATTCTGTATCTCTAGCATATAAATTTTAATCTGTATTAGTTTCATAAGAGAAACAACAAATTATATAATTATATAAATTATATACGTAGTATACATTATATAAGTATATTAAAAATATTGCTGAGAATTGGTGTGCATGATTGTGGGGGCTGCTAGGCAAGTTTGAAGTTCATGAGGAAGGTCATCAAGAAGGACAAGCTGAACTCTTGGGCAGAAGCTGAAGCTGTCATCCACAGGTGGAATTTATTCTTCTTCAGGGAAGCTTCAGTTCTGCTCATAGTTTTTTATTTTATATTTATTTATTTTTCAGAGACAGGAGTCTCACTATATTGCCCAAGCTGGTCTTGAACTCCTGGTTTGAAGTGATACTCCTGTCTCAGCCTCTCCTGTAGCTGGGATTATAGGTGTGAGCCAGTGTACCTGCCTTTCAATTCTGCTCTTAAAGACTATTAAACTGATTGAATCAGGATTATACAGGTTATCTAGGATAATTTCCCTTCAAGTAAACTGATTATAGACTTTATTCATTTGCAAAATAATTTCACAGCAACATCTAGATTAGTATTTGATTGAATGGATCCTATAGTCTCGCTAAGTTGACTCATAAAACTGACCATTGCAGTGTTCTGGTACCAATACTATTCTTTAAGCATAGTATTTTTCTTTGTTGGTTTTGAACTGTATAAACACTTATTGAGATAATCATATTTTAAAGGTGATGAGCTAGTCTCGATTTTTACTGTGAATAACAAAAGTGATGCAGTAAATGTATTCTGACAACCGTTTATATTATTTTAAGGGATTCATGATTCACCTCTTTCTCTAAATTTAAAAAAAAAAAAAAACGCTACTTTTAAAAACTTTATTTTACTTTCCCTACCCCTTATTCAACTCCTTTATTCTTGCTTAAATGTGTGTTCTCTTCAGTTTCTTAGTGTTAACTTTGTATTAGCCTGTTTTCACGCTGCTGATAAAGACATACCCGAGACTGGGCAATTTATACAGGAAAAACCTTTAATGGATTTACAGTTCCATGTGGCTGGTGAGGCCTCACAGTCATGGTGGAAGGCAAGAAGGAGCAATTCATGTCTTACATGGATAGCAGCAGGCCAAAAAAAGAGAGCTTGTGCAAGAAAACTCCCTCTTATATAACCATCAGAGCTCATGAGACTTATTAATTATCACAAGAACAGGGAAAGACCTGGCCCTGTGATTCAATTACCTCCCACTGAGTCCCTCCCACAACACATGAGAATTCAAGATGAGATTTGGGTGGGAACACAGCCAAATGCTATCAAACTTAAAACACACTGTTTGGGCTGGAGACACTACATCATACTTGGGGTTCCTCAAATCTTTGTTAGAAGGAAGACTATTTTGCAATTATTGTATATTCTACTCTTTAAAGTTCATCTTAGCATCACAAATTTTTTTTTTTATAAATAATACTACTACATTGATGATTTATATTTGACACATTATGTTTCCCAAATGCTTTATTCTGTGAAATTCTATTGTTTTTATAACATGTTGTTTTTAAACAGTGGTCCAGAGATTTTAGAATGAAGACTCTCTAAAGATTTCTTTAAAAAACATAGTTCATACTAGAAATATTGTTTTGGTATACACTACATTATCTCTGGGAGAAACTTTGATGTTCTGCCGAGGATTATGGCTCTGCAGCATTAAAACTATGCTTAATAGTTCCATAGAATCTTGAAGCTTTGGCAAACACTTGTTTATGATATTTTGAAGGGGTTTCCAAAAGCCTGAAAAATTTTAGTTGTGCTGGATACTTTGGAAATCTCTTATAGATATGGAGAATTATGAATATCCAATTTAAAATGATTAATTAATGGAATATGCACATTTTAATAAATTATTTTGTTTTTGTTTTACATGAAAGTCAGTGCTACTGAATTATACTGAGTTTATAATATGGGCTTGTCATTTTCTACACAGGACAGAGCTCTGTTTAGTGACTGTGGTCATAGGAGATTCTTCATTTCTAATGGCCGCATCATGCCTTTGCTAAAGCTCATTCATTTAACAGTTATCTTTATATTACATGCCTATATGTTGTAAGTGACATTCTACACACATGTGATGCAGTACACCTGTGTGCACTAGGCACCTGTGATGTACTACTGTGATGCACCTGTGTGCAACTACTGATGCACTGCTAGGCACCTGTGATGAGACCCACCTCATTCCTGCCATCACAAAATATATTATCTGATAGGAAAAAAGATACTACAGTAGTCCCCCCTTTTCCTCAGGGGATGTGTTCCAAGAAGTCTCCTGCCACTCCCATTGGATGTCTGAAACAGGATTGTACAGAATCTGATTCTCATGAGTCATAATATGTTTCTATGTATGTCTTCTACCCACACATTTAATGCCTTTTCCATCTTAGCTAGGAACTTGTCTTGCACTGTGGTCATAATTTTGTAGTTTGAGGCATGAAAACAAAACTAGCATAATTTTCTTTTTTCTTAAATTTCACGAATAGAAAATTTATTACCATACATCTTAACAACTGATTTTTTTTTTCTTTCCTTATCAAGTCGAGAACTTTCACCTTTTCACTTGAAGGAAACACTTTACATCTTCTTTTTGTTGTTGTTGTTTTTAAGACGGAGTCTCACTATGTTGCCCAGACTGGAGTGCAGTGGCGTGATCTTGGCTCACTGCAAGCTCTGCCTCCCAGGTTCACGCCATTCTCCTGCCTCAGCCTGTAGCTGGGACTACAGGCGCCTGCCACCATGCCTGGCAATTTTTTTTTTTTTTTTTTTTTTTGTATTTTTAGTAGAGATGAGATTTCACCATGTTAGCCAGGGTGGTTTCCTGACCTTGTGATCCGCCCACTTCAGCCTCCCAAAGTGCTGGGATTACAAGCGTGAGCCACCACACCTGGCCACGTCTTCTTTTTGGCATATATTAATTGCTGGTGAGAGATTTCATTATGCTACTCAGAATGGCATGCAATTTAAAACTTAGAAATGGTTTATTTCTAGAATATTCCATTTAAAATTTTTGGAAACTGCAGAGAGTAAAACCATGAATAAGTTGGAGTTATTGATGATGCTGGCTGGACCAAAATAAAAATGCATACAAATTATTAGAGTTGAAACAAGTGCTACGAAAGAAAATTAAAATGTGGAATAGAGTATGTTGTAGGAGAGCAAATCGATGTTGGGGGGTCCAGAAAGTGTCCCTTGAGGAAGTCACATTTAACTGAGCCCTGAATAATGAATAATAATAAAAGCTAACAATTAGCTAGTGCTTGTTATGTGCCAGACACTATTCTAGGCTTTTATTATATATTAACTCTTCAACCTCACAACAACCCTGTGAGGTAGGTGGCTATTCTTCTCTTCATCTTACAGAAAAAAAACTGTCATAGAGAGGTTAGAAAATTTCCCTGAGGTCACATAGTTAATTAGTAGTAAAACTGGGATTTGATCCCAGACAAAATAGTCTATACTCTTAACCACTATGTGGGAAAGATCATTTGAGGCAGTAAGAACCCATGTGTAAGTACCCTAAGGCAGGAAGCCAGAAGGAAGATCAGTGTGGTGGAAGCTGGTAAACTAAGATAAAATAACATAGATGAAGCTAGAGAGGGAGTTCCATATTCAGACTTCTTATGATGTTATCACTTGGGCTTTAGTGTGAAAATATGTTGGAAAGAAATAAGAATTAATGTGAGAAGATCAGTTAAAAGATTGTTGTAGTTCTCTAATGAGATGATGCTGGCTGGGCCCAGATTGTGGCAGATGGAGCAAACTATATAGATTCTAGAAATATTTGAGAGATAAAAATAGCAGCACTCTGTTTATTTGGATTTGAGAAGGGGAGATTACTGTTTAGTTTCTAGCTAGAGCAGTTGACTGGATAGTGATATCATTGACTGAAATAGTATTAAAGGGGACAGACTTTAACAGTAAATTATAAGTTGAGTTTGGTTCTCTTGAGTTTCAGGTGACTTTTATATTAAAATCCTGTAATATGGGCTATAAAAGCCTGCAGTTCAGAAGAGAGTTTTGGGCTTGCAATAAAATCTCAGAGTTTTTCAGCCTTGGGAATAGATGAGAAAACAGGAAAAAGACCCTGAATCAAAGGTGGAGAAACCGGTAGCATTTCAATTTGGGTAGAAGAGGTAAAGATTTACAGAGGATACTGAAGGGAGGGAGCCAGATAAATGTAAGGAAAATGGACAAAACGTGGTAAGATGAAAAGCAAAGGAATGCAGCTTCTTGTTTTGGTTTTCTGATAAGGTTGACAGCTTTTTTCTTCTGGAATTTTACCATTGTACTAAATTTCTTGGAGCTTACCTTTGCATACTCTTTTCTTTATTAAGTAAATAACTTGACCTTTTATTTCATGGTTTCCTTTCCTTTTTCTTTTTCTTTTTTTCTCATTAAATGTTCTTTTAAATTTAATTTTCTTTAAATTCCTGTTAAATATTCCTGTTCACCTCCCTCTCTAGTTTCATCATTTGCTATTTCATTTTATTCCTATTCCTCTACGATTGGAATCTTTTATCTGAAAATGATAATATTCATATATAGCATTTTTAATTTTTGTGTTTCAGATCATTCTGTATAATCCCATTTTGCTAGACAGAGTAAACTTAGATATGATCCAAGATAATACTTTGCTCCGACACTTGACATGTCTGCCTGAACACAATTGTCCATCTCTCCTTCCCCTATTCAAGACCATGCCTTAATCCAGTCATGACTGAACTATTTTATATACTAGATTTCTTATTCTGAACTGAACTATTTTATATACTAGATTTCTTATTCTGAACTCCCTCTTTCCCATCTTCTTCTGTCTCTTTTTTTCTACCTTGGCTACTTTTTCACCTTCACCAAATTTTCATTTTACAGTTATCATTATTCCTAGTTTCTTTGCACCTTTACTTTATTTAGTCTCAGTCTGTCATTGTGTTTTGTGTTAAACTTCTTCCTTATTTTACTTAGAATCCATTTTGCATAGATACTGACAACACTCCAACTTCTTTTGAACCAAACTCCTCAAATAACCTTGTCAAATCCCCAAAAGCTTGGAAACCCAGTTGTACTTTTCTTTTGTTCCTCTTAGATTCATTGTCAAACATCATGTTACTGACTTGGGATAATGGATGAGGCAAAAAAAAGTATGGACTAGCCCTTAGAACTGTGCCATCTTGATCAGTTGATATGTGGGAAAATAAAAATGACATCATAATGTTGATCATGTCTACCACTGTTTTATATTATTTAATCTCAGCAGACCCTATGATGTTACAAACTACAGTTGACCCTTGAACAACATGGGTTTGGATGCACACATCCACTTAAATATGCAGATTTTTTTCCAATGAATTTATATTGGAAAATTCTTTGGACATTTTTGACAATTTGAAAAAACTCATTGATGAACCATGTAGCCTAGAAATATAGAAAAAAAAATAAAAAGGTGCGTCATTAATACATAAAATAAATGTAGATACTATTCTATTTATGTGTTGTCAATAAGGCTTCCAGTCAAAGGTAGGCAATTAGTAGTTAAGTTTTGGGAGAGTCAAAAGTTATAGGTGATTTTTGACTGTGTGGGGGGTTGGCACCTTTAAGAAACCCCTGCGTTGTTCAAGGGTTAACAATAATTCTAGGTTGATTTTCTTTCTGTGTAGTTATGATTTGGATCATTTCTACTTTTTTTCAAGTTTCTGAATGCAATTTCAAAGATCTGTGTTTAAAACCAGAGTGTCAGGCAATCTGTACCTAGCTCCTTACTTTCCCCTTCTTTCAAAATTCTTTATATATTAATCTAATCTTTTACTTCTTTCTTCTAATCTGTGTCAGAAGAAGGGTGAGTTATTTTTTCCCCAAGGATAGTCTTTCCGCCTGTTTTTCCTGATGGACATAAGAAAAATTCTAGCGGAAGAAAAATACAAGATAAAAAAATAGTTATTGTTTTATTAGATGTTTATTATCCTATATACTTGGTAATAATGTAGTTAATATAGAGTTTGAAAAGCTCTTTTAAAATATTGTTATGGGTGTTATATGTTAATATCATCAGTGGAGAATATTTTGTTTTTAACATGTCGTATTGATAAAATATAACATGGGTTTGCTTTGTTTTACTCAGAACGACTAGTGGTCGTGGCTGAACATTGTGAACGTAGTCTGGAAGACTTGCTTCGAGAAAGGAAACCTGTGAGGTACTGTAGAGTATCAGAACAATTAAATGAAAAACAGAACTTGGCAAACAAAAATGCATTTTGTTTAAACTGCAGGGTTTTGGTTTCTTTTGTTACTTAATGATAAAAGTAGGTGCAAATTTTCATTTGAGAAAATTTAATTTATAGATTACATAGGAATTCAATGTTAACATAGTCCAGTATTCATCTTTTGTGATGTAGGCATTCTCTGAAATATTTCAAAAAAATACTTCAAAAGGGGATATATGAAAATTTGAAACCTTTTTAGTACTAAGCATTTCAGTAGCTGGGATTAAGATTATTTTCCTATATTTTTAGTAGAGAGGAGCTTCACTGTTTTGGCCAGGCTGGTCTCAAACCCTTGACCTTGTGATCCATCCACTTCAGCCTCCCAAAGTGCTGGGATTCCAGGCATGAGCCACTGCGCTGGGCATGGTGGTGCATGCCTGTAGTCCCAGCTACCTGGGATGCTGAGGCAGGAGAATTGCTTGAACCAGGGGAGCAGAGGTTGTGGTGAGCCAAGATGCACCACTGCACTCCAGGCTGGGCAACAGAGTAAGACTCCATCTCAAAAAAAAAAAAAAAAAGGATTATTTTCCTGAAAGGAACACCTGGTAACTTCAAATAGGATACTTGTATTCCTAGGCACACAGTGAACTGTGTTAAATAAAGGTCACATTGAAGAGTAGGGAGAAATCCTAATCATAGCTTAGATATAATTTAATGATACAGTTTAAATGCAATTGTTGCAAAGACTCCATAAATTTACTCTCTTGGCAAGGAAAGTATGTGGTCTAAACTTTTATTACAAATATACTATTAAATTAACTTCTTCACAGATTTTCTGAAGTGACCTTAAAATTATCAAAAATCTTTTTTAATGTGTAAATCACATTGTATTAAACCAATAAAACATCTTGCCATGAGTGTTTATAGAATTATAATTATCCATCCTAGTTTTGAAAAATATTGTTACTCTGATTAGTTAATAGTTTTCCATTACCACAATATTCTAGATGAAAAATCTTTTTCAAGGAAAGAAAAACATTTATCTTAATAATTGGTAGTAATTTGATAGAAGCAAGACAAATAAATTGAATAAAAGTGCTATTATTGCTCTTTTAAATGATTTGGTTTTCAGTGGCCTCTGGAATGAAAAATGCAGATACCATGTATGTATCAGCAGTCCCCAACCTTTTTGGCACTAGGGACCGGTTTTGTGAAAGACAGGTTTTCCATGGATGGAGGGTGGAGGGATGATTTCAGGATGATTCAAGTGCATTACGTTTATCGTCTACTTTATTACTATTTTTATTATATTGTAATATATAATGAAGTAATTATACAACTCACCATAATGTAGAGTCAGTGGGAGCCCTGAGCTTGCTTTCCTGCAACTAGAAGGTTCTATCTGGGGGTTATGGGAGACAGTGACACCCAAAGTCTGTTGCTTATGTTCAGTCTGCTCTGTAATCTTGTTTTGGTTTGCTGTCACTGCAGAAAACCCTGCTTCACAAAGATAGGATGTTGGAAATGGAAGCAGGCTTTTCAGTGCTTTTGTGCCAGTCTCGGGATATTCTGTCTTGATTTTAATCTAGAATGTATGGAGATTTGATATTGTCTAGTTGATCCTCTTCTAGCACAGTTGAAGTCAATTCACCTGGCTTATTCACAAATGGCTTGCGGATCTATTCCTTCCCAGTTCAAGGGTCCTTTGTGGTTGGGAAGTAATGTTTAAACTCTTTTGAAAGCTGAGATAAGTAATCCTGCACCAGTTGGGAGAAAGAAGGCCGTGGCTCAACCTCTTTCAAAATCTCTGCTAATGTTTGAAACGTCAGAAATCCCAGTGTTCACTCACCACCCCCATAATTCCAGTTTAGCTTTAAATGCAGCCACTTTATCTGCGGACTTGAACACAGTTGTTCTCTCCTTAAGTGACAGATTGAGTTTGTTGAGCAGGTTGAATATATCACACAAGGAGGCAAGCTTTTTGACCCATTCTTTGTCACTGAAATGTGCTGCCAGTGGTGACTATTTTTCTAAAAGAAATCTCTGGAGCAGCTCTCATAACTCAAAACTCTGGCCAGCGATTCACCTTTAGAAAGCCATCAACTTCTGCGTTTAAGAGAAGACGTGTGTACTCTGTGTCCATCTCCTTACAGAGCTGCGTGAACAGGTGTGAGTTTTTTTTTCTTTTTTTGAGACGGAGTCTTGCTCTGTCGCCCGAGTAGCTGGGACTACAGGCTCCCGCCACCACGCCTGGCTAATTTTTTTGCATTTTTAGTAGAGATGGAGTTTCACCGTGTTCACCAGGATGGTCTCGATCTCCTGACCTCGTGATCCACCCGCCTTGGCCTCCCAAAGTGTTGGGATTACAGGCATGAGCCACCGCGCCCGGCTGGAATAATATATTCTTTTAAATAAAACTCAAAGATTGGTGACATTATAAAAATTATAACTATAAAAACACATTTATTAAATAAGGTTAAACTATTTCTAAATACATATAAAAGTTATTCTTACCTATAGTCAGATTAGACTTTTCTAAAGGATGTAAGGCTATAGTGTACATCAGGGGTTCTCAAACCCCAGACCACAGACTAGTCCTAGGCCCTGTACCTAGGACTACACAGCAAGAGGTGAGCAGCAGGCAAGCCAGCAAAGCTCCATCTGGGTTTACAGTTGCTCCCCATCGCTGCGTTACCACCTGAGCTGTCTGCCTCCTGTCAGATCAGCAGCAGCACTGATATTCATAGGAGCACGAACCCTACTGTGAACCATGCATGTGAATGATCAAGGTTGTGGGCTCCTTATGAGAATCTAATGCCTGATCATCTAAGGTGGAGCAGAGGCAGTGAAGCTAGTGCTGGGGAGTGGCTGCAAATACAGATTAACATTAATACAGAGGTTTGATTGCACAGAGACCATAATAAATCAATTACTTGCGGACTCATCAAAACCCTGTCAGTGAGAAGCAAGTGACAGTTAAGCTGTATCTGGTGGCAGGCTTTAGAGTGGCAAGTGAGTTGATGTACTTCAGTTGTACAGCTGCATCTGGTGGTAGGCTTTAAGTCAAAATGCAACATTTATTTCAGTCTGCACATGGCCTGCCCATTATTTTATTTATCACTTCTATCTGCACCTCCTTCCTGCACGGCACACTTGTCTCAGTCACAATTTTGATGAGCCTACAAGCTAACCCCTAGTCACAATGAGTAAAAACCAAACATCACTGGAGACCTTCTTTAAAAAGGGGGAAAGACTCAATGACGAGACAGCAGAAGACTCTAAGACTGCCAACAAAAAGAAGCTTCATTTAAAAGAAAATACCAACAGTCCTACTTAAATTATAGGTTCATTGCAACAGGTGATTCACATTCTCCAAGTCTGCTTTGTATATGTGGCGACCAGCTATCCAATGAAGCCATAAAACCTTCAAAACTGCTTTGCCACATGGAGACCAAGCAGCCTGTATTAAAAGACAAGTCTTTGGAGTTTTTCAAAAGAAAAAAACATGATCATAAAGAATAGAAGTAATTATTGAAAGCCACTACTTCATCAAATGTGTTGACACTAAGAGCATCATTCTTAATGACTAACCACATAGCTAAGAAGCCCTTTACTATCGGTGAAGATTTGATACTGCCTGCTGCTAAGGACATCTGTCATGACCTTTTAGGAGAGGATGCCGTTCAAAAGGTAGCACGTGTTCCTCTTTCAGCTAGCACTATAACTAAACAAACTGATGAAATAACAGAGGATACTGAGGCACAATTGCTAGAATTAATGAGTCACCATGGTACACAATCCAGGTTGATGAGTTGACCGATGTTGACAACAATGCAACAATGCTTGCTTTTGTGCAATATATTTTTCAGGAGGATATGCATGAGGATATGTTATGTGCACTTTTGTTGTCAACAAACACCACAGCTGCAGAACTATTCAAGTCTCTGAATGATTAAATATCAGAAAAACTGAATTGGTCACTTTACGTCAGTATATGCACAGACATAGTGGCTGCCATGACTGGACGGCTTTCTGGTTTCACTTCACAGGTCAAAAAGGTTGCTTCTAAATGTGAGTCTAGGCACTGTGTCATCCATAGAGAAATGCCGGCTAGCTGAAAAATGTCACCTGAACTTAATAATGTTTTGCAGGATATGATTAAAATTATCAACCTCATCAAAGTACATGCCCTTGGCCAAGTGCGGTGGCTCACACCTGTGATCCCAGCACTTTGGGAGGCCAGGCTAGTGGATCATGAGGTCAGGAGATCGAGACCATCCTGACTAACACAGTGAAACCTCGTCTCTACTAAAAATACAAAAAATTAGCCAGGTGTGGTGGCGGGCACCTGTAGTCTCAGCTACTCAGGAGGCTGAGGCAGGAGAATTACATGAACCCAGGAGGCGGAGCTTGCAGTGAGCCAAGATCACACCACTGCACTCCAGCCTGGGCAGCAGAACAAAACTCCATCTCTAAATAAATAAATAAATATATTATTCCTTGCTCACTAGTTCAAATTTACACTTTAACTTCAGGCCCCTGCTGCTAAAAAGCAATTTTCTTTAAAGGTAGTTGATGTTAAAATTGAAAACCAATTATGCCCACAACTTTAGGTAAGAAAAAATATTTTAGTTGAGGCTCGGTTAAATTTGTGTAAAGATTTACAATGCAACATGTAAGATGAAAATATGCATTTACAATGCAATGTGTATGATGCAATATGCCCTTACTAGTTAGGCAACTTTGGACAAGTCTCTTAGTCATTTTCCTTATCTGTAGAATAAGGAGTTTTACTGATCAAGAGATCATTGTGGAACAAGTTATTCTCAACTTAATGTTTTATTTAGTATGCATCATATCTGATAATATGTTGATCAATTATCTTTTTTTTTTCTTTCTTTTTTTTTTTTTTTTTTTGAGACAGAGTCTTGCTCTGTCACCCAGGCTGGTGTGCAGTGGCACAATCTCAGCTCACTGCAACCTCCGCCTCC